GTTTACCCTCATAGTTTATTTTCTCTGTTTATTATCTTTTCAGTACTCCTTTGCTGGATTCTGAATTTATCCCAGTCTTTGGGGCTTTTTCAGTGTTATACTCTCCTTAACTTCCTTGGTTAGCCATGGTGGGTTTATCCCTCTCTTACAATCTTTCCTCCTTACTAGGATGTATTATTGTTGCAAGTCATGAATTACTTCCTTAAATATCTGTCACGGCTTGCTTACTGTCATTCCTGCTAATCTATCTGACAAGTTCACTTTAGCTAAGTCTATCCTCATTTCTTTGTAATTCCCTTTATTTAAGTTAAACACAAGTTTTCAACCCAAGTTTCTCACACTAAAACTGAATAGTAAATTCTATTGTGTTACGATCACTGCTACTTAAGGGATATTTAAACCTCCCTCATCACCCGTTGCCAGATCCAAGATAGCCTCTTCTCTAGTTGGCATCATGACATATTGCTTTTGGAAACTATCCCTAATGGACTATATAAACTTACTGTCACAGCTACCCTTTCTAACTTGATTGAATCTAAAAACAAGAAGATTAAAGTCACCCATAACTCTTGCTCTATTCTTTTTACCTGCTCCTGCTATTTGTTGATATATACCCTTTCTTACAGAATGGCTACTCTTTGGAGGTCTATACTTCCACCAGTGTCTTCTTTCCCTTGCTGTTATTTACCCAAATGAACTCCATCAACCAAGCTGGGATGCATCATTTCCTCTACAAACTTCATTTTGGTTTAGTCCCCTCCTTTGTTTCCTCCTGTTTTTGATTTTTGTCAATGTCACACTGCCCTTGGTGGTTAGTGATTGTAACCTATGAATTTGGTTTTGTTGTTTATTTGCTGTTCGGTCCTTTAAATGAGAAAAAAAAGTTTTTTTTTAAGTGTTATAATTCCTGAGTGCTTGGGACTCTTCTGTGGCTACATCCATGCCCATCTGTTCTGGGAGAGGGAGCATGCAGTGTCCATCAGCAATTTCAGAGCTTTTAGAAAACATTGGGCATTATAGGGGCTGGAGTGCATTCTGTCCCCCACCAGTTACGTTTTTATTCAGTCCTTCCCTTGTTTCCTCCTCGTTTTCATTTTTGTTATTGCTACACTTCTCTGATGGGCAGTGTTTGTAACTTGTTCACTGGCTGTTTTCTCCATTTGATGGTCTCTGTTTATTTAAAATAACATATTACTAATTACACTCAACAAAAGTCTTCATTCTCAAGAATGGGAGAGCCTAGCACATCAGTGCAAAGGATAATGATGAAGCATTTGAAACCATGTTTTTCAGCCGGAAGTGCCTAACACATGATCTTAGCCTCCTCCAGACGTCCTCATCATCACAGGTGCCAGTCTTCAGCCACCCTTACAGCCTGTGTATTCCTGATACCTACCGCTGTCTGAGTGAAAGAAATTCTCCTTAAATCCCCTCTAAACCTTCTGTTGCCCACCTTAAACCTCAGCCCACTTTCAATTGACCCCTCTACTTAAGTGAAAGGTCTATTCCTATTGACCCTATCTATACCCTTATAATTTTATAGACCTCCATCAGGAGTCCCACAGCACCCAACCATCCCACCACCCCCGACTTAGCTTTCTCTGCTCTCCAAGAAAAATAACCCAGCCTATTGTGTCTCTCTCCATAGCTGAAATGCCCCAGCCTGGGCAACAACCTGGTGAATATCCTTTACACCCTCTCCAGCACACCACATCCTTATTGAAGGGAGGGCAGATTATTATCTCAATGGTGATAGATTGGGAAAGACAGGAGGAACAAGACCTTTGGTGTCCTTGTATACCAGATCCTGAAAGTAAATGCACAGGTGCCCTCAGTAGTATAGTGGTTATTATCCCCACCTGTCACGCTGGAGACTGAGGTTCAATTCCCCGCTGGGGAGGCTGTAAGCGTTTGGGGCGGTACGGTGGCTCAGTGGTTAGCACTGCTGTCTCACAGCGCCAGGGACCCGGGTTCAATTCCACCCTCAGGTGACTGTCTGTGTGGAGTTTGCACGTTTTCCCCGTGTCTGCTTGGGTTTCCTCCCACGGTCCAAAGATGTGCAGGCTAGGTGGATTGGCTATGCTAAATTGCCCGTAGTGTCCAGGGATATTTAGGTTAGGTGGGTTAGAGATGGGGAAATGCAGGGGTGGGGGATGAGTCAGGGTGAGATGCTCTTTGGAAGGGTGGTGTGGACTGTTGGGCCAAATGGCCTGTTTCCACACTGTAGGGATTCTATGATTCTAGGTGCAGCGGGCGGTGAAGAGAACAAATGGTATGTTGGCTATTTAGCAGAAGGATTCAGGTATAGGGACAGAAATATCTTGCTGCAGTTCTAAAGGGCCTTCGTGAGACCTTACCTGGAGTATTATGTGCAGTTTTGGTCTCCTTATCTGAGGAAAGATGTCCTGGCTAAGGAGGGGGTGCAACAAGGGTTTACCAGACTGATTGCTGGGATGGCATATGAAGAAAGACTGGATTGATGAGGGTTATATTCACTGGAATTTAGAAGAATAAGGAGGTATCTTGTAGAAACCTATAAAATTATAACAGTACTAGACAAGGTAAGTTCAGGAAGGATGTTCGTGATGTTCATGGGGTCATGGTCTAGTAATAGAGGGTGGGCCATTTAGGACCGAGACAAAGAGAAATTTCTTCACCCAGACAGTAATGACACTGTGAAATTCTATGCCGTAGAAAGTGGTTGAAACCATTTGTTTTCAAGAAGGAGTTAGATATAGTTCCTAGGGCTAAAGGGATCAAAGGGGATGGGGAGAACAGGTATTGTGTTGAATGGGCAGCTGCGATCATATCAAATTGTGGAGCAAGCTTGAAAGGCCAAATGGCCTACTCCTGCACCTGTTTTAAATGTTTCTATGTTTCTATAAACAGCACCATCCTCATCTCTGCACCTAGTCACCTCTTGAAAAAAGTTCAATCAAATTTGTTAAAAGTGCTCCTCCCCTGGAGGGACATACCACATACCAATATACAACAAAGCCATTCTTAATTTTGATTGAGCCTCACAAAGTGGAGACAAATTCTGTCCCTCAGAATTTTTATCCAGACGTTTCTCTACCACTGATGATACTCACTGGCCGATAGTTCCCTATCTTTTTCTATCACTATTCTTGAGTGATGGCAGCATACGAGCTATGCTACAGTCTTCTGGCACCTCTCCATGTGTCCAGAGAGGATTTGAAAATTAATGTCATTGCAGCCTAGGATACGTGTCATCTGGGCCTGAGGTTTTATCTGATTGTAAACTTGCTAAAACTGTAAATATCTGCTCCCCCTCAATTGTAATTTGTTCATATTTATCACAGTTATTTTCCCTGATTTTAATATCTACATCACTTTTCTCAATACGAATACAGGTATTTCATAATCATTTGAAACTTGAGCCATGTCTTCCAGCTCCTCATGTACATTTTCACTTTGATTCCTAATGGACCCTACTCTTTCCCTCGTTTTCAACGTATTCCCAGAAAAACATCAGTATGCTGATAGCTACTGACTCCTCAGAAGAAATAAACAAAGAATTTCTAACATTTTTCATGACCACTGGATGTCTCATAGAATCTTTTGATATGCTGACACTATTGTGGTGAAAAACGCATGCTGACCACTGCAGCCCACAAACACCTCCAGACACTAATGTGATAACAAGCAGAAAATATGTGCCTTTTGTGAGTTGATTGAGGGATAAATATTGGCCACAGATAATTCCTGTGCTCTTCAAAATTGTGCCATGGGATCCTTTACATCCACCCAAACAAGCAAATGGGCTCAGAGTGTCACCTTGGACAATACAGCACTTCCTCAGAGCTTTACTTGACTGTCAGCCTCGATTTAGTATTTTTTAAGACCTGGAGTAGCACTGCAATATTGTGACATAACCTAAAAACCAATGGAATCACGCAGATACAAATTTTAACGCTACTCCCCCAATACTCACTACCACTTAATCCCCCCTTCATCTTTGAGTCAAAAGTCATGGACAAGAAAAGGCTTCCTTGTGGACCAAGAGAAACAGGAATGCTCCTTTAGAAATCATGAGGAAACTTTTACTTTGGGCTCCTTCAATTGCGATTAGCCCAGTTTTCACTCCACCCAAAATGTTCTGCACCTGATTTTTCTGGTGCAGGTAGACACTGGAGTCAAATATTTCATAGCCTAAGCAATTTGCAGTCTGGATTCTCCATAAGAGCCTTGTGCCAGATCATCTGACTCCGAAACAAGAATGCTACCAACTGATACATGGGGGTTATGCTCTAAAAAGCTGTTTGGCCCTGCAATTAATTACTCGCTGAGCTTCCCTACTTGGAACTACTTCACAATTTTTTTTTTTGATAACCTGCATTTCATCAACGCATACCATTTAAAGATGGCTACTTGACTATTATTATAAAAAGAAGCATAGATATTCACAATGATCCACAATTATCTCAGGAATATGTTATACAACTATCTACCTTTCCAACAAAATAGTGAGTAGATGAAATTATGCTTGATAAATGAAGGGTAATGTTCCTCATTTCTTTATAAATGTTTGACTTAGGGTTTGACTCTGTTTTCCTCTGTTCAACAAAAAAAGGATAAAAATTGGCATAAACTAGAAATTTAGATTTAATTTGTGGAGGATTATTTTATGTAAGTATATTTTGATATGCCAGTAAAGATAGTCAAATAATCCTTGAAAATTGTGCCACAGAAATGTAATCCCAAGAATCAACCAGATACTTTGCTTATTTGGCTGAGTATGTCAGCGAGCATACATATAAACTTTACTTAATCAAGAGTTTAAATAAATGACACAGATGTCATGATAAGAGTATTCATATGATCCACAGGAGCTATTGGATGGATGTACGAAATTACCTTTTCTTATCCTTTGCTTTTCTGTTGTGTTTTATGGGGGAATTCTGCAGTTTTGGATCCTTCTAAAATATTATTGGCAAACTACATGTAAACATTCTGAGTTTAACCAATCTATTTTACAGGTGTTCCCAGTGACCAAAGCAGTGGTACATCTTCCCCACTTTGTGACAGTGGATTACATCTTAACTACCATCCCAACAACACAGTAAGATACATTTCTATCTTTAAACTTCATGTGCCAAACTGGCTCACGTGCCAGCTTCAATACTCAAGAACATTCTTCTTCTCTGCTATTTTTAGTGAAGATAGTGTTTTGTAAGGACAAAGTATGCACCGTGTATATTCTTTCACAGAAGCAGCAAATAAGGAAAAACCAGCCGCAATAGCTCAGTTGTAAACTTCCTTCTAATATTTTCAACAGGGTCAAAAATCACGCGACACCAGGTTATAGTCCATCAGGTTCATTTGAAAATGCAAGCTTTTGAAGTGAATAGGAGCTGAGCTTTGAAAGCTTGTATTTTCAAATAAACCTTTTGGACTATAACCTGGTGTTGCTTAATTTTTGACCTTGTCTATCCTAGTCCAATTCCGGCATTTCCACGTCATAATTTCAACAACACAACAGACAGCTAAAAGCAGCACTTGGAATTTCTACAGAATTTCTTGATTGTGAATCAATAGAACTTTATAAGAAGTTATATAAATGTGTAAAATAATCATATGCAATTTGTGCTGAGAAACTGTCAATTAACTACCAAATAGGTCAGGGGACCTCATGAAAGTTGGGGTCTTTTTTGTTATTTTACTCAAAAATGAAACTCATCCTGAATTTTTACAGTATTTGTCCACGAGTGGTGAATCTGTGGAATTCATTGCCACAGAAGGCTGGGGACTACAGGTCATTGAATATGTTTACAACAGAGATAGATAGATTCTTGATTGTCAAGGGGATCAAAGGTTGCGGGGAGAAAGCGGGAGAATGGGTTTGAGAAACTTATCAGCCGTGATTGAATGGCAGAGCAGACTCGACAGGCCGAATGGCCTAATTTCTGCTCCTGTGTCTTATGGTCTAAGACTCTTGTTTGAAGAACAGCAAAAACTCTTGCAAAATGCAGAAAAGTGCTACAAATGGAAAATTGCATACATATATAAAAATGTCTTGCAAGAAGTGACAATATGTTTATTACAATCCGATGATGTTGCCTTTCGCCTAGCTGCCTCTGACATAATCTCTTTTTTCCTCAAACAAGGATTCCTTCCTCCATGGTTGACGGGGCCCTCCGCTGTGTCCAACCCATCTCGCATAGTTCTGCCCTCACCCATTATCCTTCTTTCCAGAACAACAATAGGGTTCACCTTGCTCTTACTTTCCACCCTATTCGTCTCCACATTCAAAGGATCATCCTTTACTATTTCTGCCACATTCAGCAGGATGCCACCAACAAACTTATCTTCCCCTCTCCTTCACTGTCAGCATTCTGTAAGAACCCTCACTCTGTGACACTTTGGTCCATTCCTCCATCACTCTTACCAATTCCTCACTCTTCCAGGGAACCTTCCCATGTAGTTGCAGAAGAAGTAACACTTGCCTATCCACCTCCACTCTCCCCACTGTCCAAGGCCCCAAACACACCTTCCAGGTGAAGCAGTGTTTTTCTTTGTGCTTCTTTCAATCTAGTTGACTGAATTCGCTATTCTCCTTTACATTAGCGAGACCAAAGGCAGATTGGGTGACTGCTTTGCAGAACACTTCCCCCTTCTCTGTAGGAATGGCGCTGACCTCACAATTGATTGCCATTTCAATAAATGATTTTTCTCTGATGCTAATATTTCTGTCTTGGCCAACTGCAATGTGCAATGAGGCACAATGTAAGGAAGAACACCTCATTATCCATTTAGGCAATTTACAGCTTCTGGGTGTCCATTTTGAATGCAACAACTTCAGAACCTGACTGCATTATGTCTGATCTTCATTCTACTTACATCTCCACCCCTCTCCCATACGGCTATGACTCATTTGTGACTGTTTACTTTTCAGTCAAGAGAGGGGATCAATTCTCTCCCTTTCGCACCTTAATTTATATCCATTTTACTTTGCTTTTTCTCTTTAGCCATCATTAACAACCTACTTAGCTTTTACGTCAGGCCTCTACACCATCTGTTCCCTTCACCTCTCTCCTGCCTCTGTCAAAAGTATAAAAATACTTTCCTTCCAATTTCATCTCTGAAGGTGAAGTTCCGGAAGACTGGAAGGTTGCTAATGTTGTTCCATTGTTTAAGAAAGGTAGCAAAGACAAGCCAGGGAAATACAGGTCAGTGAGCCTTACATTAGTGGTAGGCAAGTTTTTGGAGAGGATACTGAGGGACAGGATCAACCAACATTTGGATAGTCAACGTCTGATTAGGGATATTCAGCATGGATTTGTGTGCAGAAAGTCATGCCTGACAAATCTTTTAAGTTTTTCAAAGAGGTAAACGAAAGGATAGATGGGGGTAGGGCTGTGGATGTTGTCTATACGGACTTTAGTAAGGTCTTTGATAAGGTCCCACACGGCAGGCTAGTCATGAAGGGTTAGTTTGCATGGGATCCAAAGGTGGCCTAGTTAATTGTATTCAAAAATTGGCTCGATGGTAGGAAGCAGAGGGTGATGGTTGAAGAGGAGATAGTAGGAACTGCAGATGCTGGAGAATCCGAGACAACAAGGTGCAGGGCTGGATGAACACAGCAGGCCAAGCAGCATCATAGGAGCAGAGAGGCTGACGTTTCGGGCCTAGACCCTTCATCAGAAAAGGGGGAGGGGAAGGGGGTTTTGAAATAAATAGGGAGAGAGTGGGAGGCGGATAGAAGAGGGATAGAGGAGAGGATAGGTGGAGAGGAAACAAACAGGTCGAAGAGGCGGGGATGGGGCCAGGAAAGGTGAGTGTAGGTAGGGAGTTAGGAAGGGGATAGGTCAGTCCAGGGAGGACGGACAGGTCAAGGGGGCGGGATGAGGTGGGTCGGTAGGAGATGGAGGTGCGGCTTGAGGTGGGAGGAGGGGATAGGTGGGAGGAAGAACAGGTTAGGGAGGCAGGGACGAGCTGGACTGGTTTTGGGATGCGGTAGGGGGAGGGGAGATTTTGAAACTTGTGAAATCCACATTGATACCATTGGGCTGCAGGGTTCCCAAGCGGAATATGAGTTGCTGTTCCTGCAACCTTCGGGTGGCATCGTTGTGGCACTGCAGGAGGCCCAGGATGGACATGTCGTCTGAGGAATGGGAGGGGGAGTTGAAATGGTTCGCGACTGGGAGGTGCAGTTGTTT